TATATATATATATATATATTTATTTATTTATTTATTTATTTATGGAATTGAAAATGTGAAAAAGGATGAAGCATTTAGTAATTTGATTAAGCTGAATAGAATTTAACAAATGTTAGGGCCGATCAGATATATATCTATTAAACCCATAACTTTCTTTTTTTGAAGCATTTACATACATACATCATTTACATAGTTTATTTACATATATAACACCTCAGCTTTATTTTAACATTTATACCATCCAAATCTTTCATATCATATTTTAACTTTAAAAAAGTGAGAGACATCTTTTCATACATAATTTAAGATAGCATATATATAAATTTGAAACTTTTAAGTGTTGATATGTAAATACAAAAGAATTAAGTGATATTTATGTAAATCTTTTTTTTTTAAACCATGATGACAACATCTTATCGTTGCCACTTTTAGCAATGCCACTTACACCTCATCTTCAAGAGAAAATATTGCATCCAGTGCACGAATTGACTTGTTCGTCCAGACTACAATGTAAAATCTCAAGACCCACTGCCTGATATTAAGAAAAACAAAAAAAGTAGATATTTGGCGCGTTACTAAGCCTGACCTGAAACCATCTCACCCGCGCCGCCCTTTTTTTGTTTGTTTAGGTGTGCTCCCCTAACATTTGTTTCTTTTCCTCTTCCGTTTCGTCTGTCACTCGCCGAAGCAACTGGACTCTAGGGTTCTCTGATCTATTGTGTTGTCTGTCACCAAATAAAACAATGTGTTTTCATCATTCTGTGTCTTTCTCTCACACCATGCAATTTGTTCATGTGACGTTTAGGGGTTTTTTTCGATATGCCTATTATGTTAGAATTTATGAAGTGCGAACTGATTTATTTGCTTCTTTTGAGTTTTCAAGCAAGTTGAATCTAGAAGAATGGAAGAAAAAATGAAATCATAAAGCAGAGAAAAACACTGAGAGCATCTAAATGAAAGGAAGTGTGGTTGTGGTTGTTTTTTAAAAGTTTATTCTTTAGAGTTTAGATTGTACATATCCGAGCTATTGCATCATAATCATTTTACCTCATTTGTTCAATTAAAAACTTGATATCTAATTAAATCATATGTATTGAAGATTTAGTATTGGAAGAGAGTATTTTATCGTGTAGGATTTATCACGAGCATAACAAG